CGATATTTCGGTTATTGTTACATCCCTAATAAGCAGCTCTTGAGGTCAAAATAATTTCGCTGTGTACCGCCCACATCGAATTATGAAGAGTTTTACTGTCCGAGACTCAGGAATTGCGCAGTTAGCATGCTAGATTTGGTTACTAGATTAGATACTAGAATGTCCTTACAAAATAGTCCTGAAAACTGTTGTTGTACCTGTAATTTAGACTACTGCAAACATGTTCTGAAGTCCATGTAATTCTTAGTTTGTCAGGCCATATTTCAGTCTTCTGTCAAAAGTTAAAAGGCCCACATTATGCTATTTTCATGTTTTAACACAAAACCTGTTTGTTTAATAGGGGTGTTCAAAAATATTTAAGTATCGATATCATTTTGTTAAATTTGATGATACAGTATCAATATCATGGGTTGTTGTATCAATATATCGCCAAGAGTATTTTTTTGGTATATTTTACTCAATTATTTTGTTACAGTGCTACAGTTTTGTTTCTTGTTTAGAGGAAGGAAACTCATTTATGTGACACATTTGACATAGTCACAGTTTTGATGATTAAAATAGGCGTGTTTCATATGAACTTTGCACAAGAAGTGTTTTAACAAAAAACTTTTAGTATCACAGCCATTATTTAGCCTTTATTTTTTGTTGAACTGTATCGAATCAATTTGAAATATATCATATCGAACTGTCAGCTCAATGTTTTGAAATATATATTGTATCGTGGCCTATGTATCGAGGTATGTATCATATCGGCAACTTATTGATGATACCCAGCCCTAATGTTTAAACTGAATTCTTCTTTCAGACAGATTGTTGATATTTTTGGGTTTTTTCTTATTATTTTTTGGCAAGTTATGTCATTTTATTTTACCACAGACTTGCCTATACAGTCCCTTTTTACCACAAGCCATCAAGAGAGCTCCGTAGTCACATTTTGAGCAGTTATCCATTTGCATTGAAGTGATATAATAAGGCTTTATGTGCACTCTTTAGGCACGAATCTATAGCACCTCCTTCATCACCACTCATCTGACGCCAGCAGCCATCACTCCAATTACTCCTATTATGCACAATTCACAAACTAATCCTCAAATACATTTTCAAGAGGGACAATAATGTTTAGAGCTGAAAGGAGTACAAGAAGTGAAGTAGATTAATGCTGCTTTCACAGAGTCTTATGTGAATCTTTATAGGCAGTATAACCAATCATGTTGCCTAATATATCCATCTTCTGACAGGTGCCATGGTAACGAGATGTTATACTCCTGTAGCTGTAGTAAAATGAAAGAAAATGGCAAATTAAATGTCCTGACAGAAACAGCTGCTGTGCTATTGAGATGCGGAAACCGAACAAAAATCCAATCTTAATTCTTTTCTTTCTTCGATGTTGTTGAGGAGACAATTTTGTGGCTCCACTGAAAATGTTCCAAATGTTTCTAGTTCCGTAGTCCTTTTGTTGTGTTTTATCATGCGTGTAGTATCTTTCCACTAATTTGCAGACACCATTATGCAATTGCGCCCTTTGCTAATTGCCGCAGTCATAATTGAGATGAGGAAGCCAAGCAAAAATGCCATTCCCTTTTTCTTAAGACTTGTAAGATAATTTTGCAGCTCTGTTGAAAACTTACCAAATCTTTCTAGTTTCTTAGTCAGTTTATTATATATTATCATGTGTATAGTATCTATAGTAGGGCTGTGTTTTTTTCTATGATTTCAAGTAGATTTGCGATTTCTGTTTTAAAATCAATGTCATCAGCTAAAATTACCTGCTCCTGCTTAACTAATACAACACTCAAATGTATTTCGGAACTACATACATACTGTACACACACATACATACATGGTTGCAGTATTTTTTTTTTACTTTATTACATTAAACGTCACCAGATTTTCTCCCCATCCTGCAAAATGTGTCTTGTCTGTACAGATATATTGTATTTAAGCAACTCTTGAGGTCAAAATAAGACCGCCGTGTTATGTTCTGCATCTAATTATAAAGTGTTTCATTATCCGATGATCAGGAAGATCACATCACCATGCTAGTTTTTGGCTTTACCATTATGGCAAAACTCCGCTCTGGCTTCTGAAAGTTGTGAAGACATTTTTAAGACAGTAAAAGTGTGTGTGTTTTACATTCTTAGCTAATTGCCAGAGTTGAAATTTTGTTTGGACAGCACTTACTCTTGTAGAACTATAGGAACATTTCCCAGTACTGTAGCTGTATTTATTGGTCCAGCGCCCTCAAACTTACCATTGTGTCCACAGACTTTGAACTGCTGTCTCTGGGTGCAGCTCAAAGTGTGTTTAAATTGGTCAGGATTAAATGTAAGCCCTCTCGAGTGGGGGACAGTCTCAGAGCTGTTTGGGTTGTGTTCAGGTAAACTGGACAAGGCCTGCAGGACGAGAAATGAAATGAAAAGCTTTATTTTTTTAGACTGATCCTTCCCAGAGGTGTGTGTCTTGTAGCAGGTTTTCACAGCTTAAATTCCAGTGAAGCAGTAGTTCTTGTCTGCATGTGTGTGTCTCTGTGTGTGTGTGTGTGTACATGTTTGTGATTGTGTGTGCATCAGAAGATGTGAGGTTTGAATACATGAAAAGGCTGCCAACTGTGTGATGCAGTTGTCTACAGCTCTGATGGATAGTTTGTTTTTCATGTTTGGCAATATAACTAGGTGGAGCTTGTGTACTGTATTTTCCGGACTATAAGTCGCAGAAGCCAAAAAATTCGTAACGAAGAAGAAAAGAACATATTTAATCACACTGGACTATAAATCACACTTTTTGGGGGCAATTTATTTTATAAAATCAGAGACAAGGAACCGACATTTCATCTTGAAATTCAAGTTATAGTAAAAACAAGAGAATAGAAAACAACAGGCTGTTAAAGTAACACGTGAACAGTTATTCAGATAACTATAGCACAAACAACAGAACATGACAACTTTACCTCTCTTTAACTCTCCATCTCACTCCAAATCACTAAATCTATTGAATTCTCCATCCTCACTCATCACTTCTGAGCAACTCTGTGACCTCCGGAGATAAACGGAGCATCGCTTCCTCTTCTGCGTAGCTGTCGTCAGATTCAGCATCAGTTCCAGTTAGAATTATTCCGGCCTTTCTGAATCCCAACAGGTTGGTTTTGGTTGTCACTGAAGTCCAGGCTTTGTCCATCCATCCAGTGACTTCCAGGAAAGTTGCATAGTGCACCCTCTCGGTTACCATGAAGCTGCATTCTCCATCCCCGCTTTCCGCCAGTCCCTCACAAGTTTCTCACTCACTCCAAACTTTCTTTCTGCTGCTCGATTACCATTTTCAGCTACATGTTTCACTACTTGCAGCAGGACAGTGGCTCTTTCTGCAGTAGACATGCGCAGTAGAGTGAAGTGACAATGATGCAGGAATAACAGGAGTAGCAGATACTGACACACAAGCCTAAAGCGCCCTGACGTGACTGTCACTGTGAAAATTTTAATATATAAGTTGCACCGGAATATAAGTCACAGGACCACCCAAACCATGAATAAAAGTGTGACTTATAGTCTGAAAAATACAGTAGTTTGATTGTGTATGTTTCTTCAATGAAGCTGGGGTACCCAGCCATCCCTCAGATTATACAAATACAGAATCCCAATTCAGACATGTGTGTCACTGTCAGAATCAAATAGTACAAGAGTGGTCCAAGGTAGCCATCTGGAAAATATTTTTAAAATCAATTTTCAGAGCATTGTCCAGCTGAACTAAACTTTAAACTTTTCCTCCATTTGGAATATTATGTTTTGGGATGCAGAAGGGTCATTTTACATCTGACAGTGCTGGTTTGAGTGAAAACTACTGTATGTACAAATATATCAAAAAGGATTGTGAGATCTTGGGATTAGTTAAGTTGAACTGAGATTCATTTTGTGAAGTTGTGAGCACCAGCTGAATAAGAATACTGAGAAAGTGGAAATATATAGCATCGTCAAATGACACTTGTTTTGATGACTCTTCAGCGAAAAGGATGGACATGAAGGTTTCTCTTTGCCAACATTTTTTTAGTATTTAAAGGTGGTAAATTGTTTCATGTTATATTGCTGACAAAAACAATAAAATAATCTGTGTTATTTTTTATTTTCTGTAAATGCAATCAACCTGGTTTATATCATTATCTGTGTTACTTACATACTCTATTACACCACTGAACCACCACCTGTGTTTTGTGGCTTCTCTGTTGGCTGAGCTGTCAATATGAATTATCTTGATTATAAACTGTGAGGGTCAAACACAGATGTTGTATGCTTCTACTCACATTATTTATTACTCGTGTGTGTTTCGATCGGTGGTCTTCTGAGGCATTATTTCAAAAGGCTCCCTGATTAGATTCCTATAACCATGCACCTGAACCACATAATGCAATTTGTGTCTTTCTAGATCATTTCATACAGTCCGCACTATTGATTCAAGTTTATACAATCGGTTGAGCCAAAGCATTTACGTAAGGCCGTTATGTGTTGTTTTGAGTGCCAAAGATTTTATACACTTTAGACTTTTGTCCACCTACGCTGACTCTTCATTTGTTTGTTTACATATCCGCAACCACAGCTTCACATTACTGTTTTTACAATACAAAAAAATCTACCAGTATTCCAAAAAAAAAAATCATACACGGGTGCAATGTTTGTGCATTTATGTAATTTTTTTCTCGTAGATGGTCCATCATTTGCAAGTTTGTCTCTAGCTCTTGCTCTCTTTGCCTGTAATGTTCCACAGTATTGCATTAAACTCAATGAAGACAAGCAGGAAACCCCACTGGAAGTATTTATGAAGCAATCCTGTAATGTAAAGTTAATGCCACACTTTGGAACATTCCAGGCAATTATACTGTTTATGTCCACCAGATCACGGTGCAGCTTTAATATTATTCAAGAAAACTTTGAAGATTTTGGATACTGCTGAATAAAAATACCTTGTCATGTTAGTATCTGTGTTTAATCGTATGTCTCCTGTTGTTGTTGCAGTGCTGGCCAGTTTCCGAGGGACCGTCCAACATGGCCTCCCACTGGAAATTGGAGACACGGTGCAGATTCTGGAGAAATGTGAAGGTAACAGACAAAAACACAAAAACACCGTAACTGGCAAACTTTTGAAGAGTGTACATTCAATGGATATATTAACAATATAATAACTTAAGATAAGACAAAAGTGTTCTTATTCGTGGGTTTAAGATTTCTGTTATATGGCAAGGCAAGTTTTTTTGTATAGCTCAGTTCCTACACAAAGTAATTAAAAGTGCTTTACAGAATAAGAAATACATTAAAATCACAATACAAACTGATCAAAACAAATTATCTTCCTAAAATTAAAAAGAGAGAGAGAGACATTAAATTAGAGAGAAGAATGAGGAATGAAAAATGAAAAACCTTTCAGTCATATGCAGCTAAACAGAACGGTTTTGGGTCTAGATTTAAACAGTTTAGGAAGACAGTTTGAGGTTTTAGCTGGATGAATCTGAAACTCTGACTCCCCGTGTTTAGTCTCGACTCTGGGCACCAGCAGGAGGCCAGTCCCTGAGGTCCTCAGAGTGCGAGATGGTTCATATGGCACAAACATATGTCACAGATGTACTTTGGTGCGAGGCCATGGAGAGACTTGTACACAGGCAGAGCCGCTTTAAGGCCTCTTCTCTGAGCC